CCTCCTAACTGCAATGGAGGCAGTCCTGGCAGCAATCTTAAGCAGAGTTTTATGTTCTCAAAGGTGATGGCTCAGTGTAGGGCACAACACCTCACAAAAATTGTTGCGACATAACATACTCTGCATTTATCACATCATTCACGTTCAGCCAAAACCTTAACCTTTTTTTAAAATACATTATTTATCTTTTTAAAGAACATAAAAACTGAAGTGATCCAGGCCTAGAGAAGGTGTATGAAGAAGGAAAATCTTGGAAGTAGATTTGATTTAGAAACTACCTTTGGAAAACTGATCTAAGTGATGAAAGATGATCATGTAAGCATGTTTTCCAAGGAATCAAGATGTGTGCACATTGCCGTAGCCCATAGACATGAACTGAAAGCCAAAAGAGTGCAGGGAACCCACTCCAGAGGAACAAAGTATTCCAAATGAATGGTTTCAAAGGAAATTCACTGAAAATACTAACCAAGTAGCACAGCAAATTAATTAAAAATTATGCATTAAAAATATTTATTAAAATAAGTGCCTATCTAGTATAATACTTATATAGTTCAGAGAGAGGAAACAATCTTCATCAGAAACATTTATAAATTCCCAGGCAGTAAGAAATACGAGTAGGCACTGAGTCTGTTGGGAATAAATCACGTCCAGACTTCAGATATTAAATCAGGAAGGAGCATGGGCTTTCATTGCATCTGCAGCTGCGAACTTTGGCAGGATGCAGGTGGTGTGCCAGAGAAACACCTCCTCTGGGCAAGGTCTTTTATAACCTAATTGCTAATATAAAACCATATTAATACAAATATGGACAGCAGCTTTATCTTAATTTATAACTCCATCTCTGGGCAAACTAGGTAGACCTTCTTCTAGATAGTCTATATCTAGATAGCCTTATCTGTGAGCTGCTTGACCCAGTGTGATCTTGAATCCTGTGGCTAGTTCTAGCTACCAGATATGAAAAGTTCATTGCTTCTATGGCTTCCTGCCTACAGCCACTTCCTTTAATAGTGCTTCTTTGACATTACTTTTCAGCCTTACCTATCCTAGAAACTAAATTTACAAAGCATAATTTATGATGAAACTTTATCTAGAAAGCGTTGTAGGGCCTAAGAAAGCCATATTAGCAACCTTATCAATTTTCTGGCTTCTCTTGCCAGCTTTGTCTGCTAAGGCTATTTACTGCTTAAGGCATGTAGTGGGTGGGGGGAGAGGGGGAACTCTCTCTGGGGAGAACTCATCTAATTGCAAGAAACACCTACACTACGTTATTCACGCCGAGCCCTCTACATAGTCAGTGGGAAACATATTCAGAGCAGGTCCTAGAGCAACGCTTTAACTGTAGCCCCTTTTTTACTCATATAGATGTCAGGGACATTGAGGTACACTGTCTAGATTTCTGTGGCTCCCCAGCATATGAAATTAAATAATTCTTTCTAATCTTCACCGGCAGAACAGTACTGCATTTTTCTGTGCAAGATTTTGATTTGAGAGTATGTGCCATCCATGTCCGGAGCTCTCCATAAACTATAGGAGTAAACAAAGGATGGGCCATTAAAGCTTTGTATAATATTCTAAAAACCCAATTAACTTATGAACAATTGATTTGTGAAGCCTGCATTGAAGCCTTCATTTTCAGTAGGAGCACGCGCGGAAGTTTATTTTTTGAGAAATAGAGGAAAAAAGGGCAGAATACATATAATTCTTAAAGGTGTGACACACTTTTGAGTAACTATGAATGGTGACATAGATGTTCTAGCACTGCATTAGATTCCTAAATTGCAAAATTTAGTAGGCTGGAAACGTGCATCATTCCAGACCTCTAGAATTGTAAAAACAAATTTTAAATATGCAGTGTGCTTGTTCTGTCATGGTCAAAAAATGACTGTGATGACAGGTGATAGGCTGTTTGCTTCTGAACTGTTTATCCATAATAACTCAGACAGCTCTGGAGTCCTGGTACTCTTCCTTTCCTGTTAGTTTGACCCTGGGTTAGGAAATGACAGTCCTGGAAAAAGTTCTGACTCTGACCAGCTAGAAGCAAGTATCAGCATCAAGTTTTATAAAGCTAAGGAGAAAACTTCTCTTCCAGGGATTAGAAAGCACTAGAGCCAATTTGGTTGAATTGAAGCCTGCCTCCTGAAATATTTTACAGTCCTTCCCAGTCTGATAATTGATTTCAAATGCCATCTGAAAACACTGTAGGATGGCATCCAGAAAAAGGGGGATCTGGCATACCTGGCTGACATTTATTATTACGAGCCTTGCTCGGTCCTGAGCAAGGCTTTTGAACACAGTTCTCTTTCTGACCTGCAGAATAAGATCAGGAAGACTATAAAGCAATTCCAGTGAGGGAGATAAACATTGACCCAGATGTTTTGTTTTAAAAGTCTCAATCAACAAATATAGAAAGCCTCTAAAGGTGTTTGAAAGCCCAATACAACATTTCTGTTTAAGGGCTAACGGAAAATTAGCTGTTGCGTACAGAAATGGGTTCAGCTAGGGTCTCAAGTTTTGTTCCAGGTGATTTTAAAACTGACAATTTGCGATCTGTTTTGCATCCATAAACCTTTCTAAAAGTCTTCAGGAAGAGGTCTGGGTACTTTGAGGATTCAGAGATAAAAGAAGCCTCCAAAATAGTCTTAGCGTTAACTTTGGCTACCTCTGGCCTTCGTCCAGCAAAGCGCTTACATGTGCTCGTCACTTTGAAACTGGCTTGGTGTGACAAGTCCTCGTCAACAGGATTTTTCATGTACCTGCAGTTAAATACTCAGACAAATGATTCTCCAGAGCTAACCTTTCTGCCTGAAGGCTTGAAGACCCTGTGGTAGTCATCGTAAGGAAAGGCCATGCTTTATGTTTCTGGCTGTCACTTCAAAAGGTTCCCTTTCCCTTTGGACAAATACCTGGGCATTTGGCTTGCCACACAGTGCTCCAGCTCAGGCTCAAAAGCTCTTCTGGCCTAAACTCTTCCCTGTCAATCCTGAATCTGAGCAGCCCCACTCAGCCCAATCAAACACCTTCTCAGGACCCAAACACATTTACTGCAGAGGCCTGGGCCCTTTGCTGGGGAGAGCTGACCCTTAACAAAGCCAGCCTGGCTTTTACAAATTAAAGAACAACTCTCCTTCCCTAACTTTCCTGCTAGAATTTTGCCACTTCAATAGAGAAATGTGCCTATACAGAGCACAGTCTTCTGGTGATGCTTTTTTGAGTAAAAAGCTAATAGGTGTCTTGTAAGCCAGGGAACCACCTTTTTTTCCCTTAGAACTTTGTAAAAGCTAATTGAACAGCAGTCACAGCCCAGCACTTAATGGGCTTTCACATCTCAATAGCAAACATTTTTTTCTGTGTTTAAGAGGCATATCCTGGGCAATTTGTTCCCTTTCATAGAAGGTAGGTAGTTTGAGCTCAGAGAGAAGGCTACAGTATATCACTTCTATTACCTACTTTAGAACAAATGTTTTATAAAAGTTCTGAAAGTAATTTCTTATGTCAGGGAGGGTGAAACTTAGTCCTTGTACTCAAGACGCTTTAATTAGTTTTCCCTGAATCTGTTTTCTCAGTTGTCTCACTACAACTGGAGCAGTTTTATTACCCTGAAGAAATAATTTGCTCTTATTAAGACCAAGAGCTCTGTTCTATAATTTAGTATGTTACATTCATCTTTAACGTTAAAAGGCCTGAGCCAAAGTTCACTGAAATCAATGGAAAGTCTGCTAGTGACACCAAAGGGCTTTAGGTCTTTTAAAGAGGGTTTTAGTCTGAAGAAGAGTCTACCTACACTGCAGTTATTATGTGCAGCATATCTAACATGGATATTATTAGAGGTGTAACTATGCCCTGTGCAGGGCTTTGTGGGGCCAACTGGCAAGTATTTATGCAACTCCTTGAGAAGGTGCGGGTTTTTTAGCCTCAGCTGAGTTTTATGCTGCCATGGTTACATTGCTAGAAATACCTGCCCTAGTTAGCTTAAATTTAGCCTGTATATGCTTACACAAGTTGAAATCACTCCACTATAGACATATTTACTCTCCCCAGGGTTTTCTTGTGTTGTAGTGATATGATTTCACCCCTTAAATCAGAGATCTCTCTCTCTCTGGTTTTGCTGGCTGGATCATGCTCCTGCTTGTCAGCAGTCAGCAGTAACACTGAGTCTTCTGTAGCAGTATTGTCATTTTCAGTTACAATCCATTTTCTTTTTTCCTTACTTGAAAAGGTTTGGAAACTCCTCCTTTTCTGATAGGTAAATTTTTTTCTTGCCACCTGTGTTTCCCTGGTGGATCTGCTAATAGCAATAAATTAATCCCTAGATGCGTTATAGCACGGTTGAGCACCATTATATTGACAATCGAGCCAGAAAAAAAACCTTCTAGCTCAGTTCCTTAGAGACTGAATAAAAAATGCCATCCCAGAACTAGATTGATATTAGGTAGTATAAACTCTGTGTTATGTGCTGAAAGCATTATTTTCCTCCAAATGATAGTCAAGCCTAAAGCTTCACAGAAATGTACTTTAGAAGCGGCCAGTGTGTTTGTTTATCACCGAGTCCTGAGGATATATTATAATTTCAGAGGACCAATTAAAATCCTGCACTAAACACCTTAAACGTTAATTTAACAAGAGAGGAAGTTCCTTATTAGGTCATTGATGTTCAACAAAAGGGAAAGTTTGATGTCTGCAAGCATCCCTTATGTACACAAGTATATTCTATTTTTGTTATGGTCTTGTATGCCCAGGTGATAATCCGGAGTCATGTCCCATTGTATCGTCATGGCCCAGATCCAAAGGCAACTCACCTCAATATGGGGCTATCTAAGGCCTTCAGTGGCCTTTCTCTTGTATCAGATGGAGCTAAACACTTGCCCTCTCTAACTTCTCCATAATGCTCAATTTCTCAAAATGCAACAACCGTTTTTGAAGGCAGGCAATTTCGTGTCCTCATTTTCAATTGCTTTAATTTTTCTTTCTTTTCTTTTCTTTTTTTCTTTTTAATTTGTCAGAGTTTAGGATGGACTTCAGTCATTCTCTTGAACTTTCTTCACAAGCATGACAACCACAACATGTTAAGAAAAGCCCTGAACCAAGAGAGCGAGCTGCGTGATGCTTTGGCTGCAATAATGGCTATCATCAGCCCTGCAATCAATTTTCAAGTCACAGTACTGAATTTTTTCCACCTCCTGTGGTCTCACACATGGACTTCATGAAACGCATTACCAGGACTTCTAAAAGGAAGGAAAAACGAGGGAACAAATTGACTAGTTATTAAGAACGGAGCTATTTCCCTGATGAAACGTGACTCATACTGACAATGGAGATTCAGAGCACTCTACAGGTTTAATAATCATAAGTAATATTTCAGCAGTGATAAGCGATGCCTGAGAAAGGAAAATTTTGAATGGAAAGAAAATCTGCCTAAGTTTGTTCAGACAATTTTGTATCTTTTTTTTGGAATACCTTTACCATAATATCTTTAAAAAAATCAATGTCTAAGGTTTGGAGACTGCTGAACTTCATTTCTAAGCTTAATATGTACATGGGCATATACCTAACATTTTTATTCCATATACCTTATACTTTTTTTAAAAAAAAAAACAACTTCAGAGCAGAGACTATTTCTATCAATATGCATGAATTGGCCAAATGAATCACCCTGACATAACCAGTTAATAATGTATATTCTCACATAGCTTGAAGGGTTAATAAAGACAACCAACTGGTGGCAGGCAGATTTATAACATGCAGAATATCTGGTATAAAGACATGAGCTCAGAAGCCAAAGAAGGCACAAACAGACTTCCCACCTTGCTATCTTTTCTCTTTTGGGAGGTTCAGAAAGATAATGATTCAAAAAAAAAAAGAAAAAAGAAAAGAAAAACAACCCTCAGCATAAATGTGTGTAGATGGAGACACTGATTGACAATGTATTAGAGCTATCATAAGCCCATCAGAATAGTATTGCTGGACCAAAGAAAAGTACATTTCCGCTATAATTGTGGTATTGTATCAAGCTATCACCATTCCTTCTATGCATGTAAGAATAACTATATTACAGCATAAATATATTACAGTAGCTTTTGCAAAACTTCACAGCTTTTTCAATGGGTTTTAAAAGCTAATATCAGTGTTAATGTTATATAAAAGAGATTTTTCGCTCTTACCCACATTTTTTAGCTGTGAAGTGCATATTTGATATTCTTCACACAATGCTGTTTTTAATGAGGTTAAAGGCTGCATAAGATAACTGTTTCTTGACTGATAGAAAGGTAGAAGGAGAAATTAGCACTTTGGGAAGAACATTGTTTGCTTCTCTCAACACCAACTTCTTGTCTTCAAATCTGAACCCCTCAATTATTACCATCCTTGCTCTATTGAAATTTGGGGATAAGGGATAGTCAGATAGCTGGATATACCACCAGCACCCATAGGTGTACCAAAAAGCCTCAAGTGTGACCTCCTGGGGTAAGCCTCTAAGTCCTTAAGCTAATCTATTGTCCAGCTCCTTTATACCTGAAACTCTGTTGTTCTTTTTCTCTGTTTTCAAGCTGGACAATTCTGTTTTCCACTTCACCAAAACGAGAGTCAAAAGTCTTTGATTTATATCCTCAGTTCTCTTATTCACAGATAGCACCATTACAGAAATTTTTGACTATCCATTTTGCTTTCAGGTAAGGTTAAAAGTCCTCTGCATCTTGACAGGTATGCAGCAGCCGTGGGCTCAGGAGAGCTGCAAGAATGAGTCATGTGTTCTCTAGTGGCAAACAGGGAGGAATTCATATTCTCAAGCTGTGTGAGGTGGTTTTCTCCTCTGCTATTTCAAAAACAAGAGCTTTTCATAGGTATTCACGCCAAATAAATTGATCAGCAAAACCACCTAAAGTTTTAGGTCATGAAGAAAGGAAATATACCTTTTGTAGTTCAACCAAATCCATCACTTCCCTTCCAAAAAGAGGATGGCCATACTTCTCTTAGTGTTTCTCAATGGTTGCTTCAGTTCCTTTTACTACCAGGGCCTGCTTGAAGAAGTCGCTGCTACTAGAAGTGCCCAAAAGAAAGTGGGTATACTCCTGCGCTTACGCGCTCCTCGGCCAGCCGACTTCCTTCTGCCAGCTCGTGGTCCTCGGAAAGTGTAAGGTACAAGCTGCCTTCTGAGAACAGTTATTTATGTTATAAGTAGCACTGTACAAGCTTCGCATTGCAGAGCAGAGACCCTTTGGTTGACCATACTTTACTAGTAGAAGGCAGCAGAGCATTCGCAGTAAGGGAAGCGTTGTAGGCTACGTATACACAAAGAAATTTTTGGAGATGTGCCCAAATCCTACCAAAATTGTCAGGAGTTAGCCACCTAACGGACCCTTTCTGCTGTTTTACCTCTTGCCCTGAGACAGAGATATATTGCTCGTACAGAATTCAGTGCTTCTAAGGGTTTTTTTTTTTTTTTTTTTTTTTTTTTTTTTTTTTTTTTTTTTTTCTGTTAAGAAAGAAAGTAAAAAACCAACATTACTTTCCCCTGAGTTTACAAATGTAAATGCCAGAAGAGTTCAGGTTCCCAGTCTATATTTTTTCCTGGCAAGACTCTTGTTATATATTTAGGTATACTCAGAATATAAATTACAGCAGAGAAGATCAAGGGGTTTTATTTCCATTTCCTGACAACCTTTGATTTAAATTCACAACATTAGTCTTGCACTAATACATTTAAAAAATTTAATTCCCCTGTATTTAAAAGGGTTAAAAAAAAGTAATTAAAGTAGCTGTTCTTTACTGATAATGTTAGCGTTTAAACAAACCCATGTGGGTGCTCATAATAATACTATGCTGAGATATATGGCGAAAAGGAAAGGTGAGTTTTACCATTTACATGTTTCTGATATTTTCTTGGAACCAGCACTGCCAGCCTGGGGATAAGATGGCAATATTTGCGTCCCTTCACACCCTGGCAACTGTATAGCACCTTAGGTTGATGCAACCTACCTCCAGGACAGTGAATATATCAGTCTATTTTAGGCACAGCTGCCAGCACTGAAGTCAAGAAGCCAACTGGAGGACCTGGCATAGGGGTTCTTGTAGTCTGGCAGTCAGAGTAAAAGCTCTTTCCAAAGATTTTATTGGAGGAAAATTTATTTTGTAGCATCATCGGAGGGCAGCAGGAGAGGTCAGAAGTAAAAAGAGATAGCAATTTGTTGGCAGTATGGAGAAAATGCTGCCAGTGGACTTTGAAGTGGGAAACGTTGCTTAAAAGCAGACCAGATGGAAGTTGATCATTTTGATGCTTGCAGGATACAAAATAGACAGATTGTCAATTACCTAAAAGACTGCATAATTTGTCAAATATGAGTTGGACAACAAGCAAAAGAGAAGTTAACAATATGGGGATCTTCAATGAACAAGTTAACGTAGGTGTGTGAAAATCTATGCAAAAGATATTTTTTTCAAGTATATTTTTAATCTCAGCTAAAATACTTCAGGTAGCAGCGCTGTTTTGTGTTGTTCTTGTTTTTAGTGTGGTTTTCCCAAGAAAATGCGGTTTATGCACCAGGATTAGCTGCCTGTCTTCTAAACTCTTGCCTCAATAACTTTTGAACCAACCATCCTCTTTTAACAAAGCAACATGGATCTCAAATGTACTCAATTCCTACACAGTCAGTGAACATAGACAGCTTGACAGAGAAGAGAAAGCCCCATTAATGTCTTCTCGCTGCAGTATGAGCACAACTGTATCAGGCGTCAGTGGACCTGTACTAGCACAGTTCATGCCAAGACACAAAGCCATGGTGTTGCTCATGGAATGGCTTTATTTTTCCAGACTCTATCTACTGAATTCAATAGCCAAACAGTTAACTCAGATGCAGTACATTAAAAAAAGAGTATCACATTTACAAAAGGACATACCTTAACAAATCAATTTCTTTTTATTATTATTATTTCCTATTTAAAAGATTTGAAAACTCTCTATTGCACAGAGTTCAGCAGACATCCAAGGGAGCTAAGGAAGATATGGCCTGATCTATCTTCTACTGAATCAACTACAGTATTTTCTTTGCTTCAAATACAGAACCACATCAGGCCATTGTGAGTGATATTAAATGGGAAGCAAGTGACAGGTGAGCTTGTACTGTCGGAGAAGAGCCATCAAAAAGTCTCTAAAGGTTTTTCTCACTAAAGAGAGCAGAACAGGGCTCTCTGAACAGCTTAATGGATAAACAACAAGGAGAGGAATCCTTATACATTCATGTATGCACACATGAGCCAATAATAGGAGGAAATAGAAACCATGAGGGAAAAAAGAGGATCATTTTGTTACGGCTGACAGTCATACAATAATGGATGCATAAACAAGCAAGCTGAGTTGTTAGTCAGAGACTGATATCAAACAGGACACCAATGTGACCTAGCCCCAATACAAACTGAAAATATTTGAGACAGTAGTAATGCTCAGCAAGTGGGGCTAGAGAGGGGATGTGTGTGTAATACACCCAAGAAGTTCAATATTGATGCTAGACTGCAGGCTAGTGGTACACAGTTTAGAAAATATTTAGAATAAACATCAACAAGAAGCCTGGGGGATTTTCCAAATAAACACCATCTTTCTAGCATCATGAACATCTCTGCATAAAGCAAGACCAACCTGAAAAAAGGAAGAATCATTTTCTCTTGTATTTGAACTTATTAGCCATAAAGAAAGCCTGACTAGAACTAAAAGGAATGACTGTATAGAATGAGAGGCAGAGGTCAAATAAACGTGCATATTCTGAATTCCACAGGAAACACCCCTCCAGAGGACACCACTCAAAAGCTTCAGGGATAACACTGATTAAAATGAAAGAAGAAAATATGAAGGGAGAAGCAGTACTAAAGAACATCAACATATTCCGAGCTGGCTGCTAGCAATCAAGTTAGCACGTTGCCCTCTATCAGCTGGAAATTCAGTTTTCCCTCAACAGAGCTGACTATGTGCACTTCCCCGGTCTACTGCAAGGAAAGTTCAATCACCTCCAGAAAGCAAGATGCGATCCCAGACAAACAGTATATTCATGAACTACCCCAGATCATTTCAAGAGCACTGTTCTAATTTGTGTGAGACACAGCCTTATTGAATTCTTTGTCCCAAGGCATCTTTAGACTCTCAATGAGGTCGAGGGAGTTATTTAAAAAATATAAGTATTAGAGACCACACGAATAGGGTAGATATTCTACAATGCCTGTCCTAAGGCTACAAACCCAGCAGGCTATTCCATCTAGCAAAAAATTATAAAGGAACCATTGAATTCAGACCTCACTGAAGCCAAAAGTAAGAGAGAAAAAAGGCAAAATGCATCCAAATTGATACGTTCAGTGAGTTGAAATTACTGCATTTTGTATGCTATACATTTATATATTATAGCATACATATGAAAAGAGAGGAAACACAAGGGAAAAAGACCTGAAGGAGAAAAGACCTGAG